ACTGTGTGCGACGATGACTGGGACATCCGGGACGCGGACGTCGCCTGCCGCCAGCTGGGCTGCGGCCATTCCGTGTCGGCCCCCGGCGGGGCCCGCTTTGGCCAGGGCTCGGGGGACATTCTCCTGGGCGCCGTGCACTGCTCGGGCGGGGAGCCCCACCTGTCCAGCTGCCCCCACAGCGGGTGGTACAACCACGACTGTGGCCACAGGGAAGACGCCGGAGTCGTGTGCTCAGGTAGCGCAGACGCGGCCTCGTGGACACCTGTGCCTTTGCCCCTCGCCCCATATCACAGCACATGGCGCACAGACCCGGCTGCGGGGGGGTGTGGGGGGAGCGAGGGCACGTGTTACCCCGCAGTCGCTTGCGGATGAGGGTGCCGTGGGCAGCCGTACCCCAGTGTGGAAAGGTTACCTGCTCTGGCGTGCTCTCGCGTCAGTGACGTCAGAGGGCAGGTGTGACTGTCCCTGCCCGCAGATAAAGACATGGAGCCCCAGGGAGGGCAGGTGACTGCGACTGGTCTGAAGTCCTCACGCGGGAGGTGAGGGGGGGTTCTAGCTCACCCCTCTAAAGCTTGCTGATGCTGTGATCCCCTGCAAGCAGCATGATGTCATCTCTGGCCTGGGATGACCAAACATGGGCCGAATGGCCCTTTCTTCTCCTGTGAAGGGCTGGGAACTTCTATCCTTAAAACCTAAATCTATAGGGGATTTAGACTGCGGACACCCAGTGTCCTCTCTGTTGAGATTCTACGACAAGCAAAAGATCTTTACAGGCTTAGTGAAGAGAGAAACTCTCCCTGGCCATGCAGAAAATCTCCACATTCTGCTTTGCTCAGGAAGGACGCGCTGGTGCAGGGGTCACTTCATGCCCCAAAACTCCTGAGGATACTGCCGGGTGTGTCCACCAGGGGAGAGCGTGGCTAAGTCATGCCTCTTTACAGCAGCCTCTGGCACTCGCAGGGTGGAGGCGCCCGCGCACAGCCCCCCAGGCTCGGGAGGGCCCCTGATTCTCACGCGGGAGCAGATTTGTTCCCACCGAGAGGTGGCACCTTGGAAACGGTTCTGCTTCCAGGCTGCGACTGCGTGCTCAGGACTAGCTTAGTGATGGCTGGTGTCCTCGTTTGAAACAGAAATAGCCAGCTGGACACCCCTCTCCGAGCCCTGGTTTCCACACCCTGAACATCAGTTCACGTCCAATTTTGCTGCCGGCACAAGCGTTGCTGCTTGTTCCCTGACGGCGCACCCCTCGGGCTCGGGGGTCCCCTGCACTGAAGCACAGGAATATGTGCTGCTTGCTGTGGCCGTGATGGGGTCCCTGGGCATGAGCAGGGTGACTGGCTGCCTGGGACACTTGGGCCAGGGAGGTGCCCTAGTGTGGCAGGGGCCCCCCTCTTCTCTCTGCTTTCTCTTGTGATGACACTGGCACGTACGCCTCTGACCACCGTGTCCCCATTTCCCCTGTCCAGGAGTCCAAACATACACCTACGCCATCACTACAACACCAACCCCAGGTAACTGTGCCCCTGGGATCCTGAGCTCCCTCTTGTTGCTGGCAACGGTGCCCTGACCGGGGAGGCTGAGGTGCATTTGTCCTATGGGTAAACTCTCACCAGCCCCTGGAACCTGCTAGAATCCTGTATCTCTCTGCTCTTGACAGTAGTGCTGAATGGTGCAGGTCAGGCCCCCACATCCACCAGGAGACCCCACGGCCCCACACTGGCTGTGGGGGACAGTCCTGCTCCCACTCCTGGGCTGAGCTTCCCCATACCCCAAGCATAGCAGCGTCCCTCCTTCCCAGGTGGGTGATGCCTGGGGCATTTCCCATCACTGGCTGCCAGGGGGCTGGACCTTGAGGACACCCTGGACTTAGGGTGTCCAACAGTCCCTGGAATTTTCCTTCCCTGTGTGTGTCTGACCTTTCTCTTCGGTCCCTTTCAGAATGGCTCACCACAGCCACACCAGAGACATCTCCCACATCAGGTAATTACCCCATCTTTCCTGGCTCAGTCTCTCTCTGGAGAGAAAGTTGCTTTGAACACCAAGATGGGGCTGCCGTGGTGTCCCAGGGGCACCATGTGTGACGATGGCTGAGACAACGTGGATGCCAACGTAGTGTGCGGGCAGCTGGGTAGGCCATGGTGCCCCTGGCCTACCGTGTCCCTGGCCAGGACTCACCATGGCTGCGACACTGGCAGTCTCCTGCCAGCCACACAGGTGCACACGCCCCCGAGCAGGTGCGGGTCCAGTCACACTCAGCGAGAGGACACCTGACCCTGCCTCACCCTGTGGGCCTTGTGGGGGCCTGTCTGTTATTAGGGAATCGTGAGTTGGGGTCGGAGTGCTCAGTCCCACTCACATGGCGAAATGAAATACGGGACTGCCGGCACTGACTGGCTGGGGATGTGGACCAGGAGGAAGACCCTGGCCCGGAAATGTCAGCATTCCTTTTATTGTGATCTCCCTGATGGTGCAGCTGACCCTCAGAACCCCTCTTCTTCACTCCTTTCGTGTCCCTGGATTCCCTCAGGAACTAGTCACTAGGCACCCCGTTCAGGCCTCGACCTTTGCTGCAGACACACTGGGTCATGTGTGTCTGGGCCATGTCCCACCCGTGTTTTGAGGAGAGGGTGACAGTGAGTGGGACACTGTCCAAACCCCGTCATTCCACTTGTATAGGTACTTCGGGGTGATCACACAACTACCACATAAAGCCCCTAGGAGTTCCCAGGCTGGGGGGGACGTCCCTCAACTTGTATAACCTCTCCTGGTGATGTAGGCCAGGCTCACAGATGGACCTTGGGGACACCAAGAATGCCTGTTATGGAGCTTGAAAACCTGGGTTCTGGCAGAAAATCCCATTTCTCTTTCTCTTGACAAGATGGTCAACTTCAGGCTCCTCCCTGGACTCTGTCAGGCACTGCCCAGGCTGGCACTGCCTTCCCTCATGGGGTGCACCTGTGTCTACCCCAGACACCACAGAGCCCATGGCGCTGAGGCTGTGAGACGGCCTGGGACCTGGGGTGCCTCACTGGGGTTCCCTTTCCCCTGTTGTGTGCCTGACCTTTCTCTTCGGTCCCCCAGACTGGTTCCCCACAAGTGGACCTGAACACTCCGCAGCAGGTAATCACCCGCGCCGGTGTGTGACTCGAGCGTGTGGAGGT